GAGAGAGAGAAAGAAGAAGAGAGAGAGAGAGAGAGAGAGAGAGAGAGAGAGAGAGAGAGAGAGAGAGAGAAAAATTACTAGTAATAGCATTAGCCAGTGGATCGTATCTAGATTTTATTACTAACAGAGGGTTTCCACGAAAACTCGCGTACGTCACCTCCCCTCCCCTCCCCTCCCCTTTACTTTCTTGTTACGTCACCTCCCCCTCCCCTCCCCTCATCCCCTCCCCTTTACTTCCTTCTTACGTCACCTCCGCCTCCCCTCTCCTCATCCCCACCCCTTTAGTTCCTTCTTACGTCACATCCCCCTCCCCTCTCATCATCCCCTCCCCTTTACTTCCTTCTTACGTCACCTCCCCCTCCCCTCCCCTCCTCCCCTCCCCTTTATTTCTTTCTCCCCTCACCCGCTCCGCCTGTCTTCGTGCGTGTAGGCGTGTGTGTGCGTGCGTGCTTGTAGGCGTGTGTGCGTATGTGCGTGCGTGCGTGCGTGCGTGCGTGCGTGCGTGCGTGCAGCTGGGATACCTGGCTGTGCGTGCGTGCGTGCGTGCGTGCGTGCGTGAGGGCAGCTGGTATACCTGTTTGTGCGTTCGTGTAGGCGTGCGTGCATGTATACGTGCGTGCGTGCGTGCGTGCGTGCGTGCGTGCAGCTGGTATACCTGTCTGTACGTGCGTGTAGGCGTGCGTGCGTCCGTGCGTGCGTGGGTGGGTGCGTGTGTGTGTGTGCGCGTGCGTGTGTGTGCGTGTAGGCGTGCGTGCGTGCGTGCGTGCATGCGTGCAGCTGGTATACCTGTCTGTGCGTTCGTGTAGGCCTCGTCTCCATGATGAACTAAGAGACTGCCACAGTTTCCCATCTCACGCGCGATGAAGACGACGTGTGGGGACAGTCTACGAAGCGGCTGATTGGGCAGCCGCGTGTTAGTCTGTCGCGCGCTTCATTATTATCCTGATCTCACTCGGCACTCGCGCAGTGTAGTGACAACGTCTAGGAGCAGTCTAGGACACGACTTGTGTGTTGTGGTCTTTTACACATACACGCCCATATGCCTGCGCGGTCACCATCACCACTAGCACTCACACACATGCGCGCACGCACGCACACGGTGTAGAATACGTAGTAACAACAAGAAGGCTCACTCTCACCCTATCAGGTGTTCCTGCCCCTCCCGCGCACGCACGCGCGCACGCACGCACGTACGCCCTACGCTACACAGTGTAGTAGCAAACACACACGGTGCCCGCCGACACACGTGGCGTGACGAAACACACGCTGAGTCATGACCCCGACGCTGAGACAGTGAGACACACGGCGAGTCACGTATTGAGACACGTGGCGAGGCAGTTCGACACTCCTGGTGGTCACATATTAAGGCAGTATCCGACTCGGCTGAGACAGCAGGGTGCAGATCACTACATCGATCCTGAGACACACGATACAACAGTACGTCACCTTTGAGTCACTTCTTGCGTTCCGCGCTCTCTCCCCCTCTTCTCTCTCACACACACACACTCTCTCTCTCTCTCTCTCTTTCTCCCTCTCTCTCTCCATCTTTCTCCCCCCTCTCTCTCTATCTTTCTTTCTCTCTCTTTTCTCGCGCTCTCTCTCTCTCTGCCTCTCTTTAGCTCTCTCTCTCTCTCTTTCTCTCTTTTTTCTCTCTCTCTCTCTCTCTCTCTGTGTCTCACTCTCCCTCTCTCTCCTCCCTATCTCTCTCTCTCTCTCTCTCTCTCTCTCTCTCTCTCTCTCTCTCTCTCTCTCTCTCTCTCTCTCTCTCTCTCTCTCTCTATCTTTCTCTCTATTTCTCTCACGCGGACGCCTACTTAATATTAATGACCGTTGCCCTTAGCAACCGTTGCGATATCGATTTCGGGTGAGTGTACCAGCAGACGTCGGCCGCGTTGTCGGCTGTGATGGCGGCGGACCAGCGGTGGCTGTTCTATAGCGGGAGGGAGGGGAGGGGGCTAGTTGCTAGACGTTCTGTAGCTTACAGCGAAGCTGCTTGTATATTGATTCTGGTCGTTGCGAAGTGGGTGGGAGGGTGGTTGGTCGGGCGCCCTGTAGATGTATATATATACATATATATATATATATATATATAATAGATTATTATCTATTATCTATTGGTTATTATCTAATCTAATAAATCTATTGATAAATCTATTATTATTTACTCCGGTATATATCGTATTTGTCATTATTACCCCCTGATATGTATGATATATAATGATATATGACATATTTATAATAATCATAAATGATAAATGTATAAATAATGATGATTTGTCATTATCTACCCCTGATATATATATATATGTATGTATAGTGACATCGCGTGTTTTGTCTCGGTGGCTCAATCTTTGGTACAAGACGACGCAGTAAATCGATTCATCCTCTCCATCCTACTTATATACCTACCTACCTGTAGCTGAGTAGTACCCTGTTGTCTTACCTACATACACACCTCTTGCTTACTCGTTCCCCCTCTCTCTCTCTCTCTCTCTCTCTCTCTCTCCCTCGCTTTATCTCTCACTCTCTCTCCTCTCCCTCTTTCTCCCTCTCTCTATTCATCTATATTATTCGTTTTTTGCACAACGTGATTTCAGTGTACCCGCGTTCTGCTCAGCGTACCATTGTTTCTTCCGCTGTCAGGGCGTAACCCGCACGCGTATACGTACGTCACCGCGTTGCCACATTCTGTATAGACTTATATATATATATATATATATATATATAAGTAACGAC